AGGCGCGTTGGCACACTGGAGATCACGAGTGCTTGGAACTGTAGGCTCTTAGAGTTTGTGCCACCGCTAAGTCGAAAAGGGGATTTGGCTCTTGCTGCACAACTTACTTCAATCCATGTACAGATGCTGTTTGCAGGCTATTATTTACAATGACCTTGCTCCCCTAGAGAATTTCCATTGTTGCCTATGTTTTCGAATTCTCGAAAGGTACAGATTACTGGCAACACCGCTAGAAATTTGCTGTTCTGATTATTCTTCTCCCCTCGCTTCTGTGCGTTCTTGTGGTGCGCTGTATACTTGAGGCCTTAAGCGTACATTTGTACGAATGTATTGCAGTGAGTAGATTCGTCAACAGTTTTTACTGGACATAACACCTCAATGAAGTTCAAACCATGAGATGAAGAGTCTTTTAGCTGTGTGTTGTCGTTGCGTCACTAAGGAAGAGCTGCAATATCTTTTATTTGTTGTCCGTCACCGCATTCCGTCTCGTGCGAGCGAAGATCATAGAATGCATACTGAGTACCGACATGAAACAGCACTTTGAAGACATCTCCAAATTCCGCATGCGCCGACAAAACGAGGAATTCTCCATACGTTCTAGTGCAGAAGATCGCTGGGCGACTTTACGAATGTGCATAAAAATTGGGGATCTCTGCCACACATGCCTTCCGTGGCCCGATCATTTCAACATGACTTGTGCCATTACAGAGGAATTTTATCAGCAAGGGGACGAGGTGCGCAAATTGGCGCTCAGGAGTGAAAAAGCAGCATTGAATGGGCAGCGTTCGACTACGAAGCAGGAGTTCACTTGGGGTTCTCGTTGCTATTGTGCGGCAATTAGTAAACCTTGCGCACATGTTTCACTTTCATGTACTGTTTTCCTAGTAAATGCTGCACACGCCCTACATATCGTTTTGTAGTCTTTTCGCACTCGGTTGCTTGTTACTTGGCTTTCATGGATCCGTCTGCATCAGTGTCTTCGTTGCAGGAATTAAGGCGGGGTCTTCCGATATCTCCACTGTGCAGTCGCTCAGCCAACATGGACATCGCAAGGTCGCAAGAAAGTTTCTTGTCGTTCGTAGCGCGCCCCCTTGTTGCGGAGCTTGTTGAACTGGATGGACATAAACGAGTAGCGTGCGTTCTTGCACTGCAGGAGCTTGTAATGTATAAATCTGTTTAGTTGCTCCTGTAGACAGCTCGTCGTCCCTTTTTAGCAGTTACGAAAAGTGACTTAATTCCGAGTGGCAACAAGGGACTGTTGTGTCTCAGTACGCATGGAAACTCCTACGCCTTTTGTGCTGCTTATAACAGAGCAGAAGTGCTATCACTTCTGGATGCAAATATGAGCCGGTGGAGAACTATGGCTGCTGAGGGAGCTCCTGTAAAGTTACCCGCAACAGACAAACACACCCAAAGTCGAACTTTTACCTTGCACGCCGTTCGCAGTCTGGCTGGCCCTGCCCTATCCTTGTCTCAGTCCAAAACAGCCATTATATCGGGGGAAAAGCGATATGGTGAAAAACGAGAGGAAAAAGTGCCGCTTCGAAGTACTTCAGCTCGCATTGTTCACGACGATACTCTACGTGAGAATCCACACAGGAGAAGTGTGAAGGGAGCGTGTGCATGTGATTTTGTGTTACTGCTCAGAAGCCGTTGCTTCAAAAGTGTAGCCGAATAGGACAAGTAAAGCTGGCGTGCTATCTTTTCTACGCAATTTATTTTGCTTGTGCGGTGTGCGCTGGCAGCGACATCCCTCTTGTTTGACTGGATGGCTGTCTCGGAAGAAGCAACCTGCCAGTGGAGTCCTCGCTTCACAGTTGACAGCGTCAATCAGGACGCAGCAAATCCAGCAAAGCTAGGTGAAGACGAAAGCGCGGCCTCTGGTTCCTCCTAGCTCGCGGTCTCGTGCTGAGTTGTAGTGAACAATGCACGAAGAGCATTGCGGCTGAGGCCGCCTGCAGAGGCTGCCACCGTACGCGCAGAAGAATGTGCTTAGGAACAGTTTGATGAAATGATGAAGTCCGTGGACGGCGGCGAAATCCTGGCTCAAGATGGAGCAGGCGTGCTCCACTACTGTTTGGCTCGCTAAAATCCACACTGCTTGCTACTTAGCTACTGGCTAAATATGAGACGGAGGAACAAAAGTAGCGAAGTATTTCACTGTTTTTAAAGACTCAGGTTTGGACAAGGAAGAGAGGGATAAACCTCTCTGAGTTTTGAACCCATTAGGGTTCATGGCACTTTGCACCACTTTGGGAACACCGAAGTCGTCTATGCAGCCATTTTTGCCGGAGTTGCTGAGTTAGCTGCAGGAGATACATTTCACAGAGCACGGAGCATACCAAGACTGCTTTTGCTGCTCTTCAGCAACAACCCAACAATTCTTGCGCACGCGTATACTCTCCCCTGTACTAGTTGCACGGCAGAAAATAAGAGTCCGTCTTTAGATCGGATACATAGGGAACAAAGCGTCTCTTTGGTGGAAGGCATCAGTATCCTCTGCTCTTCCTAAGCAGCTGCCACACGGCGCATGCTGTTCGCGCTCGCGCTTCGGATGCTACGTTCGTCTTCGTATTACACTCGCAGATTCAAGGTGCAGCGTTTCAGTCCTTTTTCCTGTCTGTCTTGTCTTCTGCAGCGGCGGCTTGCCGCTGTTGCATTTTGTGCACTGCAAAGTTGTGAACGCGGGCGCCGTTGACCTCAGTCATGATTATTTGCTCGCGCAGCCATTCCAAATCCGCCGCCTTCAGACACACATGGATATGGGCTGATTACTTCTCTCCCTTTCAGTGGCTGCTGATTGATATTGAGTGGGAAACAAGCGCATCAGTCTTTCAATCGGCAGTTTCATGCTTTACTTGTCGTTAGCACCGATCTGTATGGATAGGTAAGCATGTTTCTGTGCCCAATTCAAAGCAAACCTGCTTTCATATAATGCACCTAGACGCACCTGTGGAAAAATATTAACTGGAAAGGATACAAGAAAAAGGTCTGATTTGACTCACCGCTTCCCCTAGATACTTCGTTGCAGAGTTCAGGCTTTTGCTGAGCACTTCCTCTGCCTCCTCGAGGGTATATTCCACAAAGACATCCGCCTGCGCCAGCCATGAAACGTAAGCAGAGTTTGAACTGTTACTAATGTCACACGCACTACATGCAGAATTAAGACGTGCTGCAGATATACATAAACCCCATTCAAACAGGTCCCAGTGATTCATGACTGCATCTGCCCGGACAGATGCGCAATTAGCAGGTATTTCTTACGGCTAGCCAGAGGCAAACTGTATCCTTTGGCGGAATGGTAGCCTGCACGTAGACTGTTTCTGCCAGCTGCAGACGTGTCGTTAAATCCCCATCCTTTCCCTCTTTTGCTCTGTCCTGTACTCCAGGAAACTCACAAGAGCCACAAGAGAATGCAAAATAACTTCTACAGCACAGCTTCAGGTGTATGGGCGCAATAAAACGACAGCCTCTGCTCCGCTCACGCGCTGTTTCTGCAGCATCGCCACTGCCTCCATGGTCTCCTTAATAGCGACTGCTTTGGCCCGTAGCATGCATTTTTGTCCTAGAAGAGACCTCTCCATGAAACGATACTTCCTGGGAACACAGAAAATGCCACTGGCTAGCCCGCACGCATCAACCAGCTAAGCAAACGCAACACAAGGCATGCGACCCCAGTAATGGCTGTTGGGAACTTGGTAGAGGGAAACACGTGGTTCCAGCATTACTGGAGAAGCTCTTTTAATAGCCATTCAACGGATGTCGGGTCACAAGACCCTACGAATGACTCCACGTTCTCCTGCAACGGGATAAACAGAACACCGAAAGACGAAAGGCTCGACAAACCACACGGCTCGTGATCGCAAGGGTAAGACACGGCTATATCAGGGTGTTGCACATGCTTCGAGCACGAAGTGGCTTCAGAAGACGTTCCGCAAACACCACTGCGGAGATTTTGCACCACTATGAATCAGTGTTTAAAAATGATGGACACATGCACAAAGTGCTCGTGTCATATTCTTGACTTGTCCCTAACGTGCATAGTTTAGGGTCAGGCCACGAATACAACACTGTATCCGGATGCATACTATGAACTTCGCCCGAGGAATGTTTCTATGCTCTCCATCCTTCGCGGCAATGACCAGATTCTCCAATCGCATAACCTTGGGAATGTTCAGCAGAAGACAATAACGGGACTTTTGATCGTACCGCGCGTCTGCACTGCAATATATCAATTGCATACCTAGTCGCTACTCCGTAGGTAAGACAGAGCATCACAGTACGCTGTCTGATGTGCCGCAGGCATACACGGAAAGTATAGCCTGGGTGAAGATGGACCCACGGTGATCAACTCAAGGTCCCTACACATAATGTTTATGTACTTCCTAACCTTACCGGCACCTCGGATGCGTCACGCGCCATCTCGTTACAGGTCAGGCCAAACAGAAGACGCCGCGCGGAACACTAATTTGCAAAGTTAGTGTAGGCCAGGGATCTGGACACAAGAAGTGCTATGTGAACCCGCAGGTTGGCGGGTCGCTGTCGCTCAACGCTTGCCACTTCAGGCACTAGTTCCTCTGTTGTTCCATGCCGTATCTTTTAGTGGCAAGTGCATTTGTTTCCCGCAAAATTCTTGAAATACACAGCAACAACTAAACGGTAGCCGCTCAAGCTCCCCAAATTGCATGCATCACCACACAGAGAGAGCCTCCAACGAAATAAAAAGATCTTCCGGGTAGGTATCACACACGTGGTGAAAATGCTCACAGAAGAATAAAATCGTTGCCACACGTTGTAGTGCTAATAGCTTACTCGTCAACTCCCGAGTCGAGGCATCTTCCAAGCACACGTCTCCCGTGGGGCCCCCATCGCATACGAAAAATCTCGGGGTTAGTCTCTCTCCACAATCTCTGCATAACCATATTTCAGGGTAGTCTGTATCTGCGGTTACTCGAATGTATTAGTGAGCAATGTATCATCGACACATAGTTTGAAATGAAATGTCCAAAAGCCTTCTGTTTGAGCATCTACAGCAAATCCGCTCGCCCGCGTTGCACGACCTGCAAAGGGCCATCGGCGCAGAACAATCCAACAGAAATGGCAGCGATGGTTTCGGCAATAACGCGGAAGTCGCTCGCAGTGCTACGAGTACGCCTTGTGAAGAGATCTCCAGACATTGCAGCACCCACAGCTGCCTCCCCGCTACCAGCGACCTCAGCTTCAGAGACAGCTGTCACATCTGCAACGAATGTACTTCCCCATCTGTTAGCAAAAGTAGCGCTGACAATGCAGGACTCGTTGCTCGCCGTATCTTCTTTCGCTCCCAGCCTCTGGCGTCGCCGTCCCCACCGTATAGCATCGACACTGATGGATCCTCTCATAATTCTTCCAGCGGGGTGACAACATCATGCAACAATCACAGTGCGAACTGCGGCTGCTCTGTATCGGGAGGAGGCGTTACCTGCACGAGTGACATTTTTTCGATTGACTCAGTTTCTCTTGCCTCCGCAGTGCTTATACCTCATCTTCTCCCCATCTTTCGTCGCGTCTGGGAAGACAGCAACGCGAACTCCTGGCCGTCTGCTTCCTCGAAGATAGGGCTGGGGCCCTCTGACCCATCCGGTATTTCAGGTGTAGAAGTATGGAAACTGCGCCCGAGTACTGAAGTCAGCAACCAGTTCAAGCTTTGGGGTAATGAGGCCCTACGACGGGGTCGCTTAGCGGCTGCTGAAGCTCTTTATTTAGCCGCGATCATGCTTCTTCCAAGCAAAAGCAGCAAAGGCGAAGGAAGCGACGCTCTATTTGCTGTCCTGTCTGCAAATAGGGCTCTTGCTCTCTTGAGACTTGGACGCGTCAGGGAAGCAGTACGAGCGGCTACAGTTGCTGTTGCTACGGATCCGTTGTACCGTAAGGCGTGGCATCGCCGTGCAGCTGCTCTGGTTAGTTTACGGGAAAAAGTAGAAGAATATTTCCAGAGTGCCGGCAGTAACTTCATCAACAGAAACTGCCACAGCAGCGCATCGTGGAATGAAATTATTCGTTCTTGTCTAGAACATATCGACTATGAGATAGCCGAGGCTCAGAGGATGTCGATGAGCCAAGCAAAGCCAACTGATGCACAAGTCGCAGCAGCCGGTATGCTTATTGGCACTTGCGGCTGCGATTCCAATGTAGCCTGTAGCCGTTCGTCGGAATCTATTGCACCTGAGTTTTGTTCACGTAGACTCTGGATTAGGGGAGACATAAATCTGCAGCGCAACGAGAAAGGGTGGGGCATGGTGACCACGAACGCAGCTGTGGCTGAACAGGAGGGTGATTCGTCTCTTGTTTTGGAAGAAGAAGCATTTGCTGTGTGGGTACACCCTAAGCACTGTGCAGCTATCCCGAAAATCCCTTTAGCAGCTGCGTTCCCGTGCTGTGAATTATCGAATTCGCAAGCACCGTACTCCCTGGAGCTGCACGCGGATGAAGCCATGCGCCGTGCCTGGGAAGAGCTTGTTGAAGAATCTGCCGTTAGCAAGATGTGCACTTCAGAAAATGTGGGGAAAGAAGACTCTGACGTATCTGTGGAATCAGCTGATGGAGTTCACGATGTATGTGCAGGCTGTGCAACAGTACCAGCTAGAGCGGAGGCAGCTGCAAGTGTGTGGCACTCACAAGCGCTGGACTCTTGGAACGTGGCAATCAATTATCTACTCAGGCCAACGCTGCCCGTTTTACCCTGTGGCTCATGCACAGGGGCGCTCTTCTGTTGTCACGTCTGCAAAGATGGCTCCTCTCACAAACGCGTTTGTAGCCTCCCGCAACACGTGGATCAGGATCAACACCAGGAGTGCTGGATGGGTGTGCAAACGGCGCTGAGGCAACGCAACACTGCAGGTAGCACATGGGAAGCAGCTGGAAAGTCTGCAGCGTGGAGCGCATTGTCGCCTTTAGCACTGTCGCTGCCAGATCCCCATCGACACATTGCGCGGCAGCTATTAGCATCCTTTCTGCCGTCAACAACTACATCATCGAGTAAACGATTAGATGCGGAGGACCATTGTGCCCTAGCGCGGTCTGCGGTGAACGCGGGAGGTGCCCTTACCCCTTCAGGATTAAGGAAACTAAGGGAACCGGTGTGGCAGCAGCTGCTTTCAATGACTTCCTCTGTAGTTGTTGACAGCACCAAGATTACCGATTGGTTGCTGAATGCTGCATGGCTTGCTGGAGATGCCGTTGCTTCCGGCCGCGTGCTGCAATGTGGCGGTCTTTGTCTTCTATGCAAGCCGTTTCTGAGGCAGGCACCTACGGTTGTGGACTCTTCAGTCCCAGAAGCAGCGTTGCAGTCGACGCAGACAAGGGCGACAGAACCAGAGGACGCCCTCGTCGAGATGGCTAAAATCGGGTTGTGCTCGAATTGCTGCGCATGCTGTCGGGAGTGGTGCTCTCATTGCTGTACTGATGTGCCAGATTTGCAGTCCAGTGGGGTCACATTGGCGTGTCAACCATGTTTCCCTAGGTGCCTAGTTGCTGCAGCGCTGCATGCATATGGCGTAGCCTGTTGCAACAGCTTCACAGTTCGTGTTATGTGTGATCCTGAGGAAGATGCCGTCCCTGCTGGCACTGCATTTTTCCTCGCAGCGTCTCTCCTTAACCATTCATGTACCCCGAATGCTTTTGCAACATTTGGGGAGCTTAGCCTCCAAGGGCAGCGATATCAAAAGCACCACGGCGACTTTGTGCATTTCTCCAGTCCTCAAGACGTGCGGTCTTCTTTGAGCAATGCCAGCGTCTCCGGGCGCGGAGCCCTTCTACAGATCCGCCTATGTACACGCGGAAAATGTGAAGATTCCCAGGAAATTTGCATTTCTTATGGTCCAATAGTAGGCCTGCAAAATAGCTCATGGGGATGTCGTCAGGACTGGCTTTTAAGGAATGCAGGGTTTTTCTGTCTTTGTGAGGTGAGTGTAGGTAGCTTGACAACTCACGCAAGCAGCTCATTACAAGTACCTCAGCAAAGTAGGTAAGGCAGATTGTTCAAGCAGTTTCCCCCAACTTCAACGCTTGAATATAGATGGAATTCTTGTGCATCATTTCTTGCGAACAGGCGTGCCAGGCTCCGCGTTATGAAGGTAGCGTAGCCATTGCTGGAGATATACCTTTTCGGCACGAGCTATTGTGTGGCTACCCATGTCCCCATTGCACCTCAGGACCACGAGTGCATCAGCTCTTGGAGGAGGTACTGCGAAGTGATTGTAGTAAACAAAAACGATATGTGCTTCTTGAGGCAACTGTGCTGCACAGACGCAGCTTAGATTCGCGTCTTCGCGGGGATTCGGTGCCGACAACTCAGCAGCGGTTCCAAATGAGAATGCCCTTCAGTGGCTTTTCAGTACTTTCGGAAGTGCCCGCAGAAGCACTTAACTTCGTCACAGTCTATTCCAAATTGCTTTCAACTACGCTGACTGAAGGGGAACCACAGCATCCGTGGACGAAAACGCAAGCATTGGCGATACTGGGTCATTCGTGTGCACGCTTGTGGCACCGTGACGTTTCGGCTAGTCCTGATTCACGAGTCGTTATAGCGTCAGTTCTGAATAGTAACGGGCCTTTCTTCGTGTGCAGCGGCTTTTACTGCCTAAATTGCCGCGCACGCTTCGCCTTTGATATTCTTGAGAACAGACGGGCAGCCATTGCTGTGCAACTTGACGGCTTGCTTCGACAACTTGGAAGTTCCGTCACGTCCTTAGTCAGCAGTAGGAGAGTGCGGAGCTGCATGCAATTCGCGGATATTCTAAAGGAGACCATGCGAGCAATTTCTGGTGCTCTTGCTGCCAGTGGCTTCTTGTCGGCTGATGCGTGGCGTGCTCTACACGCTGTGGCCAGGGCAGCCTACGCGCAGGCCAAGATCGCTCGCCGTGAGTATGGAGATGAAAGAGCGTATCTCGAGCTGCTCAATTTCGCAGCAATGTGTCAGTCTGCGGGAATCTACGTGTTGCTGCAAAGGCTTCCTCTTAGGTTGGAACAGCCAGAAGTGTCTGCTCAGATGTACAAGGCTGCAATGCTTTTCAGCCAAGCAGGCTCTATCATCGAAGCCAAGCAGATTCTGAGAGCAGCAGAAGAAGCTGCAGTCCATTCGTGCGGGTCTCACAGCATCACCCATTACTTTGTAAAGGAATTACTACTTTGGCTGGAGGAGAAACGGGTTTAGTGCACGCTCAGACGCCTACACATTTTTTGGATTCTTTTTGTATTCAAGTGCCATAACAATGTGTTCGATATTCGCGCCACTGTGGACATGCAGATACTCATATGCAGTTACTACGCACACATGCATGTTTGACTTGCATTAGGAAGGCGCAGTATCCCAAAACAGTTGCTGCCACGACGAAGTATAGTGTCTACTTACCCCTTGGGGCAGGGAAATGGCACAGAACAATCAGAAAGTCAGCTGTGCTGTTCCATCTCGTTGGGAGCGGCAAGTCTGTCACTTAATCCAAACGACCGAATTACTGAACGGGAAAAATGAAAGCTTTCTCCCACGCAACGGCCTCCTCTTCAAATAAGCTGCCGTACATTTGGGAAAGACCGAAGAAGCGCCGGCACCCCATGCTTCTGGGACGACAAAACATAATTGGAAGGCGAGTAGAGGCAAAAAGCTTACGACTAGCCCCTTGGCCCCTTGCCAAATGCACGTGCGTGCACGAAGGGGCATAAGTGCTGTGCGTTGCTCCTGCTTGAAGGCATTTTAAGCGAACTGATGTTACACACGTTTATGGTCAGCGCCTAGAAGGAACAAACACGTGGAGACTGGTTCCTGTTTACGTCGTGGGACCTGCCACTCCAGAAGTCATTCGGCGTTGACTGTTTGATGCATTTGGTCATATTTGCCCATATGTGTTTCCAAGAGCGGTCTTATTGAGCAGAACCTCGTGCTGCAAGTGGCGTATGCTGCGCTTCCAGCTGTCGTTCTTCACTACTATGGGGCACGCTTCCATAGATAGCATTGGCACCAAGTGCAACGTGGCAATGCTCCGTAGCTTCAACAACATCGCCTTGTCACGTGTTGAGCTCTTTGGCACGACGATAGCTTCCACGTCCTTCCTGAGCTCAAAGTAATTATACAACTCTGTTTCTTTATTATTGATCCCAGCAGTTAGATGCTCATGTAGTTTGGGCCTCACCCGAGCTTGATTTCTCCGTGGATGTTGCAGTCCAGCAATGCTGGTATGTCAGCGCCTGTGGCTGCTGATGGCTTTTTAGCAAAAGCCTGCAGAGACACACGCCATTGATATCTCCCACTTCTCCGAAGTTCGCGCAGTGAGTCGCGAATGCCTGCTGTTTGAGCACTGGAAGGACAGAAGCAGCTTGGTCCCTTTGACCTTCGAAGGAGTCGATGCGTGGGAATGTCGTAGGGTGCCATAAGTATAGCAACTATGCGCAACATCTAGTAATGGCACAGCGCATTTGTCGAAATGGCCTGCGCACTTACGGCTAAAGCTCCTAGAGCGTCAGGTCCAAATGTTTCCAGAACATGCCACGGGTTGTTGAGAGTGGCAACTAAAGGCTCATGACCGAACGGCAGCGCACTAGACCCGCAGCTCTGGCTAGCTGATATTGTGGTTCTCACCCTGCAAGCGTAGGATCGCGAGAAAACACTATCCGTTGCAAGAAAAGACTTCCGCACACAGGCAACGCAGCATCCGCTGAGTCCCTTTCGTGCGCATTAAAGAACACACGTTGCTTTTAAAGGGAGCCACGCAGGATTCAGGTACGTACCGCACATGATCTTTCAGAATTAGACAAGCTTCCCCAGTTTGCGGCTCCCATGGAGGCTGAATTCTGCAGTTCACGCTAACGTAGCCATATTTCGGATGATGCTCCGGTCTGACGGACTCATGTTCATATAAGCCAGAATAGAGTGCTTGCTCCCTTTCGTTACATTTGCGCAAATACGTTGAGTCGGTCTGTGGTATTTCAAAGTGTGACCTGAGTGAAAGGCCCACAAGCAGCTGCTCCAGATTTCTGCACAGCGCTGACTGCTGCGAAATAAAGTACCTAAAAGCCGCACTGTAGCGTCGAAACGGCGTAGTCGCAGGCTTTACCTAATGCATCCCCCGTTGTCTAGGTGTGGAGTGAGGCTTGCAATGTCAAAGTATATGAGTATGGGCGCGCGCCTCAAGAGAAACTGCTCCAGACAGTCAAGTGCCCCATTAATCTCCCGGGCCCCTTCGAAAGCTTTCGTGAGACGGTTTCTGGCCTCTGCACTTTTCTTAACGGATTGTTTTGCAACCAGTGCCATAACTGCCTTCTGGATGTCTGTCAACGCACGCAGTTCTGGAGAGTCTGTAGTGCCAAGGCACTGCATACAAAGCGATTGAAGCTCAGGAGACAAGTTCGGGAACAATCCATGGAAAACTGAAGATGCTAGTGGCTCATATGTTCCCACGCCTGACCATATGTTGGTTTGCGCTGTCAGTCGCCTCCCAAGCGCACTGGTAGCCATGTAAGAAGGTCGCACAGCATATTCTGTCGGAGCAGCACTGTCGATGCGTGGCTTTCTCGGTTGGCCAGATGGAAGTGGCGATCGTCCCAAGCCGTACTCATTCCCACTTTTTCTGTCGCTGAAGCTCCCAGTGCTGCTTCTCCTCCTGGAAGAAGCCTTTCCATCTATTTCTCCAACCGATATACAAAGAGGTTCTATTCGCTTTGACGTACTCGCGTTGTTTTTCATGGCGAATGAAGAGTCCTTAGTATGGCTGCGACAGAATATTCATGAGAGTAAGGGAGCAACGGAACCGCGAGCTGGAAAACTGCAGGGCGCATTTTCTGACCTATAAGGGTTTCCAAGCGTACTTCTGCGTCTACGAAGCTCTGATTATAGTTCTACAGCCGCAAGCGCCTAGCGGGTTGCACCTGGCAGCTGTGCTCCGATTCGACGTCAAAAGGCCTTGAGGTGAATCACGTGATGCCCATTCATGCTGCTTTGAAGCTAAAGAATCACTCTTCTGCTCAGGACTACTCTTGGAGAGGTTTGCCCCCTTCAGTCTTGTTGATGACAAGTTGGCTGAGGAGGTCGTCGAGGACATGGCAGTGTGAAACGAGGAGTGGAGCCTCTCCGATCTGGCCAGTGACTCATAAGCCGAATTATCCAGCGGAGCGGACTCTGGCAGCTGCAGAGTCGTTCCAACTGACAAAACACTGGCGTATTCCAATGCCTGAAGGCACCACACTGCAGTTTGGATCTATTAAATTTGCCAAAACGCAGCGGAGTTTTCTAGCACATCTTCAGAACAAATGACAGCTTTAACTGGGCTCATCAAAAATATATTGTTGTGGCAGGACAAGGCCGCATCACTCACGGCAGAGCCTTCCTCTTCCTTCCTGCGGTTTATACATCTTCCACGGCTCCCACAAATTCCCCCTGACAAAACCCAGGAACAGAAAATAGCTAATTCGGCACACATTGTGTCATGCATTTGGATGCAACCACCAAGCCTCGCAAAGCACACAGAGCAAACGACGGAAGACTGCATTCGCAGCGCTTGATCACAAGCAACTAGATAAAAGGACGGTTGTCAGCCTATATTCCAAATACAAATACTGTGCTAAGTCTCAACACTAAGTCAAAACTCCACAGCGCACACACGACCAACCCTCCATGACTAACTGGCTACCTGACACGATCTCCTTCGATGCTTCAGATATCTTTCTGACCACCAAACTCACACTCCCACTGAAACCCTCCGCTCGGTCGCCTCGCGAGCCACCACTCCGAGACACCTGTAGGTCCCTACCTTCTCCAGACACGCTGTTCGCATGTTCGTCAACAGCCCATTCAGACGACCCGTCCGCAGACCCCCGTCGCCTCCGTGACAACCCTTCGACACTCTCCGCAAACTGCGAAGACGTCCTGCTTGCGCCGCGTTCGTCTCTCTCATATCTCCTTTCCAGAGACCTAGTCATTGTCAAGCCACCTTCTCCGCTTCCTGAGTCTTGAGTCTTGCGCACAGATCCACTTCCACTGCTGCGCATACTGCCTCCGTCTCCTGGAATGACGGGCTGAGGAGGAACGCGGTTTCGCTCTGAACTCCGGCGTGCCACTGATCCGGAATGACGCCCGTCATCCCTCCCATGCCCGCCACTCTGCTCAGCAGCGGCTGCAGCCACACGCGCGTTGCTCTCAGAACTCTTGCTGCTTTCCCGCCCTCCGTGACGCACACTACGGTGACTTGTACTGCCGTGGAAAACTTCCATATCGCCTTGCTGCTTCGTCGCGTCACGTTGCCCACGTTGCCGGAGGTCGCTCTCAACTTTGCTGAGTGAAAATCTTCCACTCGCCTCGCCGTTGTCGCCAAGTCCTGCCGATCCATCTACGGCGGCTCGATCCCTCGTTACCTTCCCGCGCTCCGCTCCCGCGCTCCGCTCCTCCCGATGCCCCCAATGCTCCCGACGCTGCTGATCCTGTGCGTCGCACTCCCCTCTCTCCTGCATCGCTGCCTGGCACGACCTCCTTCGATGCTCCAGACACCTTTCCGCCCACCAAACTCACACTCCCACTGAAACCCTCCGCTCGGTCGCCTCGCGAGCCACCACTCCGAGACACCTGTAGGTCCCTACCGTCTCCAGACACGCTGTTCGCATGTTCGTCAACAGCCCATTCAGACGACCCGTCCGCAGACCCCCGTCGCCTCCGTGACAACCCTTCGACACTCTCCGCAAACTGCGAAGACGTCCTGCTTGCGCCGCGTTCGTCTCTCTCATATCTCCTTTCCAGAGACCTAGTCATTGTCAAGCCACCTTCTCCGCTTCCTGAGTCTTGAGTCTTGCGCACAGATCCACTTCCACTGCTGCGCATACTGCCTCCGTCTCCTGGAATGACGGGCTGAGGAGGAACGCGGTTTCGCTCTGAACTCCGGCGTGCCACTGATCCGGAATGACGCCCGTCATCCCTCCCATGCCCGCCACTCTGCTCAGCAGCGGCTGCAGCCACACGCGCGTTGCTCTCAGAACTCTTGCTGCTTTCCCGCCCTCCGTGACGCACACTACGGTGACTTGTACTGCCGTGGAAAACTTCCATATCGCCTTGCTGCTTCGTCGCGTCACGTTGCCCACGTTGCCGGAGGTCGCTCTCAACTTTGCTGAGTGAAAATCTTCTCACATGCTCCGAACCTCCACTCGCCTCGCCGTTGTCGCCAAGTCCTGCCGATCCATCTACGGCGGCTCGATCCCTCGTTACCTTCCCGCGCTCCGCTCCTCCCGATGCCCCCAATGCTCCCGACGCTGCTGATCCTGTGCGTCGCACTCCCCTCTCTCCTGCATCGCTGCCTGGCACGACCTCCTTCGATGCTCCAGACACCTTTCCGCCCACCAAACTCACACTCCCACTGAAACCCTCCGCTCGGTCGCCTCGCGAGCCACCACTCCGAGACACCTGTAGGTCCCTACCGTCTCCAGACACGCTGTTCGCATGTTCGTCAACAGCCCATTCAGACGACCCGTCCGCAGACCCCCGTCGCCTCCGTGACAACCCTTCGACACTCTCCGCAAACTGCGAAGACGTCCTGCTTGCGCCGCGTTCGTCTCTCTCATATCTCCTTTCCAGAGACCTAGTCATTGTCAAGCCACCTTCTCCGCTTCCTGAGTCTTGAGTCTTGCGCACAGATCCACTTCCACTGCTGCGCATACTGCCTCCGTCTCCTGGAATGACGAGCTGAGGAGGAACGCGGTTTCGCTCTGAACTCCGGCGTGCCACTGATCCGGAATGACGCCCGTCATCCCTCCCATGCCCGCCACTCTGCTCAGCAGCGGCTGCAGCCACACGCGCGTTGCGCTCAGAACTCTTGCTGCTTTCCCGCCCTCCGTGACGCAAACTACGGTGACTTGTACTGCCGTGGAAAACTTCCATATCGCCTTGCTGCTTCGTCGCGTCACGTTGCCGGAGGTCTCCCTCAGTTTTGCCTTGGGTGCTTCCTTTGCTTGTCATCATACTATTCAGTTCTCTGTGCCTAGTGTTTGTGGTGCTGCTGCGAAAGTAATTGCTAGACCTATGTGCAAAAGTCGTGTCGTTCATCCAAATAGCGCTACAAATGTCTCTGTCTCTCAAGCCAATAACATTCTGTGCTTTTGAAAGCTGTGGCAAGCAGCTTCGTGCGTGCGAAGTGAAGACTTCGTGTTCTTCTGTGCCATTCACATCAGAGAATGAATGTAATGCATTTTGTCCAGCGAGCTGTGGTTTTGTGCTTTGCATGCCTTCACTAGCGTTCGATTCGCTGCACTTTGAAAACTCCTTTTCAATGATGCTTATGCTTCTTTCTTCATCCCGTTTGTCCAGTGCACTTCGCAAAATTTGACGTGTTATGTTGTGTTCTTCAAATTCCTGGAGACTTGGTGATTCTTCGGAGGGATAGTCATCACTCTTCTTCGGCGTGCCTGTACCTGACCCTAGCGACTGAACAATAGCACGCTCCGATTCTTCAGCTAGGGGGTCCACGAGACATGGCTCTGCTACGTTGCAAAGTTCGGGCAGGCGATCCTTCGAGAAAACTCTATTTTGATGGTATTCATTGCTTGTCGAGAAATCAAGCGATACTTGAGACGAGTGCCTAAAGCCGTCCACTTGAGAAGTCCCTGCTGCTGTGGCAGCTTTTTGAACACTCACATGAGTTGTGCTTCCACTTTCTTGCCTATTGTCTTGAAGGCAGCCTGCTTCGTCGCGTATATGTTTCGTACTTCGTAAATCTGGGAATTTCGAGGGTGCCCCTTCTGGAACCAGTCTTCTTTCTCCTCTTGAGCGAACCATAAACCTGCTTACGCTGCGTAGCTGATGATCTTCGACATCGTACTGAGGGTTCACGCATGACTGTGTAGCACACAGGAGGCGATCCTTTCGTGAGTGAACTTTTCCGAAGTCTTTAGCTTGGTCTTCACTGAGTGCAAAACTGTAGTCAAGCTCAGTTTTCCCTTGCAGCACGGAGACGGCATCCGGAAGTCCCCCTGTTTCCGAAAAAAAATTGGTTACCTCTTTCCTCGACCTTACATTCGAGTGTTTGTCCAACCGCGATCGTGTGTAGAAGCCTTCTTCACATGTTCTTGCAGTCACGCACGATGTTGCAGTTGCTCTCCTTCTCTGGAGCTGTTTGATGGCATATGGGTGCGTGGTAGCAAGACATTCATATTCCTCGAAGGTAAGGGGTCGTGTTCCTGGGAGAGAATATTTTCTTGACCCCACAAGACGCTTTCTTGTTGGCTGTTCCATCATGAGGAAACGTTGAATTCCCGAGCCGGTACATGTGTCGTTGCCACTGTGCAGCTTGTAACAATGAAATGGTGAATTCGAAGACTCTTGAATAGCCAACAATGTCAAAAGAGTCACAATGTTTCCCCCCAAGACGCTGGAAATGGTGCAGCAAGAAGTAGGAAAAGCCAGCACAGCCGTAGCTGGCGCGGGTCACCTACATGCAGAATTCGGAAGTTTCGGAATAGATGGGCTATTTACTGTACATAATGCGATTATAGTGTCTCCAAGTAACTGAGCGTGCTTTTGTCCGCAATCTATGCGTAAGTAGGAACGAAGAGCGGTGATGGTTCTAGGTCCGGTGGTCTTCGCAGAACTGCGCAACACCTGGTTAGCATCGTTTCCCGGGTCCCGCAACAATTATGGACAAAAACAACGTTGAAACGTTATCCTTTCATCTAAGCCTCGTGGTCCAAACCTTTTGGCGAAGCGCTGAAGTGGGAGTCATGGCTCCAAAGGTGAATCCTGGGTCGCACAGGACGGTCGAGCTACTCTGTAGCACTGCACATGGCAAAGTGCAAGCTCTAAGGTTCCATCCGTTCATATACATAGCTTGTCTGCTTTCATATGGACTTATTCAGATAAGTGTGGCTTTTGCACAGAGGTTCTACTGATTTTTGTTGATTTCTGAAATGCCGGCCCCATCGCCATCCGCCCTCTGTGGTCCCCAATCGGCCGGCTACTCGAAATTTCTGAAGGTTCGTCCATGTTCCGTTAGAAATAATATTGTGGGCACGCCTTAGGAAATAGCCTCCATAAAACACGCATGGAATGTCGAATGCACTTTTGCTCTCCGGGGTGCTCAGAAGGCTGCCTGAGGCTCTCGGGTCACTAAACAGGAGAATTCTTCTACCTAAGGAATTGTCTGCGAGCAATGGAACTCACTTTAGCCCAGATAATTTCTTCTGTCCAGGATAGAGCGTGCGGCGAGCAGCCGCAACAGCAAAACTACTCTGCCTGTGGGGAGTTGCTGCCGACCAACTCTATTTGTTGTTTAAAGTGCTGCTTTGCGGTTTTTTTATCTGCTTGGGAAATTCATTCGACTGCTAGGATGACTGTTTTGGGTTTGCATTGACTGCCGCTATACAACATTAAGTTTTACTTTTTTTGGGAAAAGAACTTTGCCCAGTCAAGCAATTACACGCTGCAGAGGTGCAAGCCTGTACAGGTGAGCTGCTAACGAATTTCGGCATGAGTCTTTCCTGACTCCTGCCAGTGTACAAATGTTAAGGGCCTCTCACCACACAGAAGCGCTGCTGAAAGTGGCGCCTTGCATGGCCATAGTCTTTTGCAGAAGCACATTTGCTCTCTGATTTACTACTGTGGACCACCTACGGTCACCCAGACCCTCATCTAGCTCTTCACAAGTCAACACAGGCACGAGATACAATTTGCTGAGGTCTTCTATCAAGCATCTCCTCATCGTGCACTGCAAATCCTGTCGTTGGACGACAATGGCAGCAACATCTTTTCTGAAGTATAAAGCAACAAACAACATGAAAAAGTTAGCTGAAAAACGTTGAATAACTTCCAGAATTCTGGTGGAACGCACCTTATGTCAATCATGCCGTGTACTTGTATCTCAGAATACTTGAAATCCGGGGTTACAGTTGCTTTTGCTCTTCTGCCTGTCGCTACAGCCTGTGCGAAAAATAAACATTGGACAATTGGCTTTTCTGCGAAGTCGGTGTGAAATTGCATGCATTAGTTTACTTCCGTTCCTAAAAAGATAAAAATTTTGTCAGCGCAGTAAGTCAGTGATAATAGTTCACTTCAGGACTCAATTACGCGTGTGGTTTGCTTACGTGAATCCTTGTCACTTCATGAGTGGATAGAGTCTCAATAATGTGCCACATATTGTCGAGTGTGCCAACACGACGAATGTTGAAACCGAGGTTCTCTTTACTAGTAGCCACAGTCGTTCGAGCGCTGCTTTTCAGAACATATCCACAAATGATGAGCTGCCCCTGCTTCTGCCTCGTGAATTTTTTTTTCACTGGGGTAGACGTGGCAGTCACATAAGATGATGCCGATGTGCACCATTCAGCGCGTCATTCTGTCTGAAGCTTTTCTCTCTAAGAATTCCGTCGGCATTGTGTGGAAACGCAGTGGCTGAAACAGGCCAGTGCTCACCGCAGTGAATCTTTAAGGAGGAGGTAGGCGCTGCCGAACATAGAAACTCGGGAATCCGAGAAGGGATGGCACACCATGTTCAGAACACCGTACCTGGAGCGCCCACAAGCAGTGTTTCAAATTATCACCCAGGATAATCTATGTGATTGATCCACAAGACGCTTTGTTTTAGACCTACTTGGGCCTGTCCTTCGGTTGAACTGAAGGGTGCTCGTACAGGCTGTTGAAAAGAACCGCTTCGAATTCCCGCCGAGCATCCAAGTATGCGGAGCCTTTTGCTTGTGTCTCAAAGCATGTTCTGTGGGCAGAAGGAAGCGTCCAACTGAACAGCAAGGTGAGCGAAAGCAGTTATGGAGCTACAGCAGTTGCTTGGCTGGAAGAAGGTAGAGCTACAGATGAGAAGAGCACTAAATGCCGTCCACCTTACTTTACCTGTAGAACGGATCATTCATCAGGTGAGGCAGCAGTCCTTGGATGTCGATCCTAATTGTCAGAGGCACCTTTTTTGCAAGGTACAGCTCTATAGCTGAAAAGTCTTCCTCTGGAATATTAAAGAGCCCCCAAGCCTTCTTAAGTCGAATCTTCGCAGCAGCACTTTGAGTTTCGCTGGTTGATGCTACGTACTCCATAACTTGTTGCTGAATCGGTGTCAGAGATTCAAACTCTAACTTCCATGCAGGCAACTCAAGCCAAATACGACGGGGTTGGCGTACACTCGGCTGCTTGGACGAGCCGTTGGCGCTGTGTCCCAAATTTGAGAGCTCGGACTTTGCCGTTTCATTGTGAATTGATCTTGAAGCGGAGCGCGAAAGTAGAGGGCGCTCGGTAGTAGAATTTCGTCTATCTGTGGATTTGCGCGGGGCGTGAAAGTCTAAGTAATCTAATTGCTGCCACTTTGCCGTTCCCCTACAAATGGTTCCTGAAGCAGAGAGCGAAAGTGCAGAGTGTTCTGTAGTGGAATTTCGTCTGTCTGTGGATTTGCGTGGGGCATGGGGATCTGATTGATTGATATGTTCCTGCGATTTTATGCGAGAACGCCTGAGGTTGTCCGTGTCATTGACCCCCCAAATCGGTTGCGCTCCTTGCCCCCGCTGAAAGTAAGCCATTTTCACCTGAAAAAATATTCCAGGAAAACCCAGTGAAAAGCGCAGCGGAATTGCTCTTCATGATGCCGCCGCTCACCGGCCAAGTTAGTCTATAACTGGTGTGACAGTGGTTGAACGATATGGCCACCTTGTAGTGCTCTGAAATTTAAAAAGCAATTCCGCTTGTGAATGGCATTTTGGATGACAATTAGCAGGATGATGTAGGGTCTGTACCAGCTGGCGTTGAACTTAAAGTGTGAAAGGAAGGTGAGCAAGGGAGCACTTCGTTCAACCCCCACTCACAGATCCTCAGCGAAAATGCAGCCTTTTTACGTTCGTCTTAAGTTACTGACAATGCGGCAGCTGTCAGTCTTGTTCGCCAGTGCTCTCAAAGGACGCCTTGGTGGTCTCCCTGTTCACTGATTCCACTCTGGATGCGAGTCCGACAGTTATGATACAGCCAGGTTACCAAATCATTTTTTGCCGCTTTAGACACTATCTACGTACAGGAATTGGCCATTAATGAAAGCACAACCCAATGCGAAACCATGTCAAGAATTGACAGTTCGGAGTTCTGTCGCGCTGCTGATAAAGCACCGCAGAAGGTGTGACTCTTCGATCTGTCCAGTGACCACAGTGACCACAGTGTTATTTGAGTTCGGGTTCCTGTTCGTGTTTTACGCATAAACCTCTCAAACCATGAAGCTTTTTTCGAAAAATACCTGTTCGATTTCTCCTCAGGAGTATTTGAAACAACACATTCAGTGCCACATTAAGTGCCGCCTTGTTAATGCGTGTCTAACACAGGCAAACCGGTAAACCGACCGGGGTTCCAGTAGCTCTACCGTATATTTTTGCATCAGCCAACGCAAATTGCTATCAAGTGCATAAGACAAATAAAAACAACGATAAATTCACCAGCAAAACATGAAGATTTAAGCAGTGCTGATACAAGTAGAATATAGAACAAGGTCCTGTTCTCATTGCTACACAGCAGAGATTCTTTAGAGGGATGAGGTGCCTCTGATGTCCAGTTCTTTAAAGTTATTCAAGAATCATATTGTTAATCCTCATTTAGGACAGCTGTGCATTTATTCTATTTCTTTAAAATTCAAGAAGCGTGTTCTTAATCCTCGTTTAGCATAGCAGTGCATTTATCGAGACCCTCGCCGAACCAAGAACTCTGAAAAGAAAACTGTATCTGTCTTTTGGAGTAACAGTGTGCTTGCTGTGGCTGATAGGAATAGACCATCCGTCGATGCGATTGTAAGTGAATCCAAGAAAAGGAAACCTAGACTAAGATCTTTCTGTAAATTCGTATCTAGCGTTTTCATCAGCTTCACTTCCAATCAGCTTTGCTGATATGCCAAGAAAAGAAATCGGCTGAATATGAAGCTGCACTACGGTAAGGGAGGTCAAGATTTTCATGATAGAACGTAGTTTGTGTACCATATGCAGCCAAGGCGTCTGTTTTGTAGCAAGACGTTAGCCACTGGTAGGAGCAACCCTGTTAAACAAGTCTCCAGGAGCTGCGTGCGACTCTCCTCGTCTCTTCTGGACCCATAACAGCTCACCAGTTGCAAAGAAAACGAAGAAAAGCTGGCTTATCTGCTGCAGTGAGCTCTATGGATAAGCGTGCACTCAATTAGCAATTTAGAGAAGACTGAGAACTGTTGGAGCCCACACAGTGTGTATGGTTCGAGCGATAGTATCTTTGACACATACGGTGCGATTTTCGGGTTTTGCTGCGACATCAACTTCATGATGTGTTGTAAAATCGTGTGAATGTTGGTATTTTCATGCGTGACCGTATACTAACAGCGAGTGCTCCGCCATACGTGGAGCGACAAAGTTTTTCAGTACAGGTTTATGTTTTAAGAGAGAGGAATCACCAAGGGCATACTCTAGCTCTTTGTTGAAGGCACCAACTTGCCAGCTGCACCTCGGAGACTTGTGTACACTTTTTCGTATTCCACCGAGTTGTTTAGTCTTAAAGGATGGGTTATGAGGCACCCAGAGACATGATTTTGTGAACAATTGCGATCCTGTCTATTCCCGCAATCAATGAGCGCTTCCTTTTTCTGGAAAAATCTTCAGGGGTCTGGGGTTCATTATGGCCAGACATAAATAGTATGTGTGAAAGTTTGGCAAAATCTTGTGCTCACAGGAAGTGAGCGTGTTGGGCACTATGGGACCATTTTGGTGGGGTGTGCTACTGCAACTCAAGGTGTGCTTTTTCCTCAAACACTATTTGATAAACTTAGCAGATGAATTTATGGGATTAGGCAGCTAGTCGAGAGTCTACCTAGAAATGGCAGTCCCGGACAACGCATTTCAATGGTTGCGTGAATGACTAGGCTTGCAAGCTTTGACTGAGTGTTTACGTATCGTAGTCCAGCGCATAAGCATTACGAAGAATGAGGGCGAATAGCTAGAAACACCGGTTATCCATAGTGAACCCGCAACACACGGCGTGAAGATTCCAAAGGGTTTTGCTTCCCAAACCCACAGGGATCTATACCACAAACATCGGGGAAAAGCGCACGCTTGCTGCTGTTCGCCACTAGATTTGTGGACAGTCGTAGCTCCATGTGCCACTACGTCTACTCGGATTCCATGGAAGGCGGAAAATGAGCTGAGAAGCATGGCAGTGCAAGAAACACTGCACGCAGGGACCGAATGTATCTATTTTGGTAGGCTTGGCAGTGGGTGCTGGTGAATCAAAGGAAAAGTGGTACGGCATTTCTAGGTCGTTAGCATGTCACACACTACAATAGTGCCCAACAGCACCTTTCAGCTGGCTTTTTTGTTCCGCCGACTGAAGCAATTCTTAACACTGTCACACTCAGCGAAACAGGCATCCAGAAGCATTTTGTGCTTTGGCGATTCTCAAGTGCTAAGAGGCCCTACGGGCAACGTCTTCTACACAATGTGATGATTAACCTGCCTAAAACCAACAAGGCTGTGCACGCCTCACCACTGACACGCTATTGTACATGCATATCTGGACCCACCAGAATGCACTGCGCCAGCTACGGCGCAAGTGCTCTGTTATAGAAATCAACCGTATCTGATAAGAGGTGGAGTAGTAACTGTTTAATGCAGTACCCAAGGCAGCTTATCACAAGCATTAATCCCCGGTTGGAGTTCAGAATTCAGATTGCCGTCGATGGAGCACTACTTCCTTTATTCATAAAGACTTGAGCAAGTCCAATATACTACGTTCAGACTGTAATTCGTAAATGCTGCAAATTAGGGACTTCCCAAGTCTCTGGTACGCGCAATGCTGCACATTGAGCTCTTCTTTCGTGTCGCTGCATGCTGAGGCATAGCCGTTAGAGAACGTCTAAGAGACAACACTTAATCACACATGAACAACGGTTTTATAACAATAAGATGCCAGCCAACGAAAATGATACTTCCAATCAAACCAAGCTGCTTACATACCGGAAGCCCCAGAGATACCATACAACAGTTATGAGCGCTCCGAGATGTCCCCAGCCCCAATCACCGAAGACAATAATTCGGTGTTTCACATCTTTATTCCAAACATGTGTATAAAGAAGACGTTACACTGCCTCTTTCAATATATTCGCAAGAACAGCCGTCCCTGGGGAGGACGTGTGGCTTCTTGTTGAGTTATACAAGCCAGCCTCACGGAGGCCTTCTATAGAGCACATCATTCTCAGCATCATCAACCAAACATGGAGTGCGCCTGTGCAGCTCTGATTATCCTTTCCTTGTTGGTGGAAGAGCTCAGTTCGTCTGTTTGTGACACGATGATGGTTCCGAAGAGACCATCGTGGTCACAGTTGAAGGTGAAGTGAATCGAGACAATAGTGAGCCTCAGCACGAAAAGTGTATCCAGTCAAACGGCAAACATTTCTCGGAGCTACGAAGCTCTTCAGTGGATTAGCAGCATGCGCTCTTCAACCGACAGCAACAGAGCACACAAAATCAAACATTCAGCATACAGTGCATTCTGATTACTGGGACTTCCATCAACTTTGATGGAGCCTTTGAAAGAACCGCGGGCACATTTGTTTGTCCAGCAGCACCGCAACATGCCAACAGACATGGCTGGAATCATTGATGGCATCAATGGAATTGCTGACGACACAGCACGACAGCGACAAGCAAAGCCTTTTTGTGAATGATGAGTTCCGTAAGTTAGGTGTTCCGTTCCGTAATAAGGATAGTCGAAGTTACAGCTGGAAGGCTGGTGCGCTGTTGTTGCTATCAACTAGACTGGGAGGTCATGAGCGTCACATATGGCAAATCACGATTCGCTTCCATATCTGTATGCAACTCCCTGTGGTGAACTTCGCCAGCACCAGTCGGTTTACTGCTACGCAGGCCGTGCGTGAGCAAGAAAGAAATAACACACCCAACCCTTATGAGTTGAGTTCCACCTGTGGCAATGTAAGCAGCGTTGAGCGCTTGACGTTGACAATGGGCCACAAGCAAGACGAAATAGCTTACAAACTTTTTGTAGTGGCATTTTTTGAGCGATTACCCCTGCATGCTAGCAGTGTATGTAGGCTCCGACTGTCGCAGTACACCAGGAGAGTGCAGCGGATTTCGGCAATTCATTCATTTCTATTGGGTAACTTTTTTAACATGCAGAAGCTAGAGTGTAGAACTCTTTACTTGGCTTTCCTAATTTTCTCTTGCGCGCTGACGACACCAGGGGAATGTAGGGATGTAAGCAGATCGCAAAAACGAAGCATGCTGTCAGAGGAAAACTTCCTGTAGCCTTCTGCTCCAACGGAGTTTTCGGACGATGACCTTGAAATAATGGGGAAAGCATCTGGTAAAGAACAGAATGGCTTCCGCATAACACACCGAAATTCAGATTGCTGTTGCAGCTTCCATCATCAATTCCAGTGTTGATTCCATGGGCACGGAAGAGGCAACTGCTCCCTCTGAAAGCAACATCGCTGGCGCAGTAAGGTCGCTCAGTGCTCGGGGTTCCTGAAGATTGTCAGACCTCTGTGACAGCTTATTGAAGGCTTGGAAAA